CCAAGGCCAGAGCCAGGGCCAGCAAGGGCACGCGCGGCGCACCCGGGGCCGGGGCCTGCCATGTGCCCGGGGCTGGCACCTGCCGCATGCCCGGGGGCTGGGCCAGCCCAGGTTGCTACGCGGGCGCACGTAAAGGGCCCGGTGGGCGCCATAGCGCCCGCGGGCACCGGGTTGGGGACCACGGCCCTAGAATCTTGTCAGTGTGCTGATCATAAAACTGAGCCTGCCTACCTGCCCTCTGGGGTGATCCACCACCATGTCCTGGTAAGCCAGAAACTCTGGTCTACCCTGGTAAAGGCACAGAGTTGGGGTAACAGCCCCCCAGCAGAGTAACACAGATGCTCAGTTATAGGGACTTGGTGGCACTAAGAGCACAGCCCTCAAAAGGGACGAAAAACTTAAATATGTCTTACTCTGCATACAAGTTTTACATGGCGAAAGCTCATCAGCTCGCTATCAGTGAAAGAAAGATGCATACAGCCATTGGTCCTCCCTGCATCCCTTCCCTCTGTAACAATTATTTATGCTGGGTTTGATAATAAACCAAAGCCTTTTTATTAAGTATAAAAGGTAGGATGTAAATGGACATAATAAAGACCTGCTAATTTAGATGGAGCTAGCATCTCTAGCTAGCATGGGAATACTACTTTTTTGGGTGGAACAGTGCTGACAGAATGGTTCTGTGCAATTTTCTTTTATAGCCCTTGTTGGTCATAAATCGGAAAGGTGAGGGCATGGTTACTGTCCTGGTCTCTCTCTTGGGGTGGAGAATAACCAGGTTCTGTGGCTTATTGCCACCAAGTATAAGATAATGCAGCCCTAGATCTCCAGTCCTTGGAGGTAAAGAATCAATCAGACTCCGGTCATTCATAAATGAAGAACTAGACTATACAGAATTCTTTATTAACATCCTAATATGGGCATTTGTTGATAATACTTGTGTTTCTTAAGACATAAATGACTTTAATGAGTCAAAACATTTAATCAAGGCAGTTGCAGGGAAAGTATGATGAAAGGTTTACAGAGACCTGTAATCATTAATTAGCCCCAAAGGTAAAAAAAAAATCCTCTTTTGAAAGAGGCTAGAGTGTTAAGTGTCCTCTCAGTTACTAATACTGAAGTTAAAAAATAGATGAAGTTGACTGTATCTCTTCAGTAGGGATGTTAAAACTCAGTTAAGTAAGTAATCGTGTAACCACTGAAAAATGTAGCAATTGTGCACGGACAGGTGGCTCCCTTGGAGCTGGTGCATGCGGGGAGCTGGCTTTAAGCTGGTTCCCACCTATCTCCCTGCACTGCTGCCTCTTTATCAGGGCATGTAAGGTGCATGCAAGGTAAAAGCCAACTCCACGTACGTACTTGGAGCCTGTGCGTAGCCATGAACGTTAACCCATGAGCCCAGGTTCATGGGTTAACTGTGTACACTGTTGCACTTTCACATCCCTGCTCTTTAGTACATGTAATAATGTTAGATGTGTATTATTTACATGAGGAAGATCTTCTCTTTTATGGGGTGAGTCAGAGTTAGGCTACCTGCATATGAACAGATGTATTGTTTATCGTGAGTAGCTATTTTATATCAAACTTGGGTCAAATTTTGGACCCAGTCTACTTGAAGAAATTGCTGCTTTGGGTTCACAGGCTCTTCTAAAGCTTATTTAAAGGTAAATCCATTTGGTACTTGAATTGTTTGTGTTTTCCCCCCCCCCCCCCCTCTCTCTCTGAATCTTTCTGACATTTAAATAGAAAATGCTGCTTTTAATAGATGTTATCTGGTTTGTCCATTAGAGGTCACTGTTGAGTTATCTATATCTTCAGTTTTCTCTTGAAAGAGGTACAAACTGTTTTGTGAACAATAGGAATTTGTTACAGAATATTTGCTTATGGACCTTAGGATAAATGGAGGTGCTGACCTGTTTGAAACATAGTCTTTGGGACCACAAGTTGAAACCATTGCTGTAGATGAGTGACAGCATCACTTTATCCCCTGGTGCCTTCATCTATAAACTCCACAAAGGGTTTTTCTAGGCCAATCACAACAGCCCTCTTTAGGGTCTTGCAAATTAACTTTCAGTTCAAAACTAAACACACAAGTCTTCCCCCTAGTCTTGAGCTGGGTATCGCCCAAACTTCCCTCCTCTGGACAAAGTCATTCCTGCCTTAGCAGATTGCTTT